GGTAGGAAGGCTGCTTTGCTCCCTTTTGCTCTCCTCTGTCCCTTCTAACTTTTTTCTCTCTTTTTGAAATAATAGCTCTCTGCCCTCCTCAGGCTTTTCTCTTGTTAATCTCTGTCTTTTTTCTCACCTTGGACAGAAAGCTGCTAGCCATCTCCACCTTTGCCTGTTTTGAGCCTCTGGGTTCAACTTCAGGGCTGTGAAGACTCCCCCAGCCAGTGTTCCCCTCCCAATCCCAGCACTAGCCAAGTAGGAAGGCTGTTTTGCTCCCTTTTGCTCCCCTCTGGTTTTCCATTTTCATCCCAATTTCATTTTTTGCAAACTAATTTTTTTCTTTTTCTCCTCTTTTTCTTCTAGTACTTTTCTTCTTTTTTCTTTGCTTTCTCTTCCTATTTCTATTTGCTACATTTTCTTTCCTTTTTTTTTTTTTTTTGGAGAGGTTTTTGCTATAGGGTGCGTGCGCTCGCCAGACAGACAGAGACAGAGAGACTGGAAGTAAGAAATCACCCCCCAGGGGGGATGGCCACACCGCAATCCCTTCTCCTCCATTCTCCTCTCAAGATCTTGGGCATGCACGCACACGCGCCCAGCGTGAGTTTTAAGCCACCGGATCCAGGACGCGAACCGCGGTCAACTATGTGAGAGTCCAGCAACATAGCCATTATGCTAACTGCTGGTCCCTATTTGCTACATTTTCTTTACCCTACTTTGCTGTTTTACTTCTCAGCCCTTACCCTCTGCCTAGAGATGATTAGGTGCATAGTAGCTAACCATCTGAGTATTGTGAGTTTTAGAGAATTCTTTGCACATCACTATAGTGGTTACAAAAATAGTGAAATTCTCCTTCATAAATCTGAATACAAAACTCCCCCTGTGATTCCCGCATTTGAGGACTTAGTAGAAGGGAGAAAATAGAACCGAGTTATTTCACAGTGGGGGAAACACACGAGTTCACAGCCACAGAATTCCTCTCGAACAAATTGACCAGAAGTGAATAAATTACCAAATGACTAAAAATCGAAAAACAGCCTCAAGGATGAGAGAATCAAGTAGTACTTCTCCACCAAGGGAACAATGTAACCTGTCTCCAAGTAGAGAAATTTAGAGTGTATTACCAAAACCTCAGAAAAAGAATTTAGAGTATTTACGGTAATAAAATTCTAATTGATAATAAAATTGATGCAAAAGAAAAGAGACATTGAGCTCCAAGAGATGAGGAAGTCCTTCCACAAATATGAAAGAAGAATTGGACACCATAAAAAAGAATCAAAAGGAACTGTTAGACATGAAGGTTGTAATACAGGAAATTAAAACCTCCCTCGAAAGTATCAAAAGCACTTTAGACCTCGCAGAGGATCGAGTTTCAGAAGTAGAAGACAAAACCAATCACCTAGAAAAAATTACCACAAATACTAAGAAAACTGAGGATAATATACAAGAAATACCAGATACCATGAAATGCCCAAATATATGAATAATTGGTATCTCGGAAGGTGAAGAAACTAATAAGGGCATTTGATAATCTATTGCACGGAATCCTGGAAGAAAACTTTCCAAGTCTAGAGAGGCACTCAAACATCTAGACTCAAGAAATACAAAAAACCCCAAGTGGAATCAATCCAAGAAGATCATCTCCATGCCACATTATAGTTAGATTGACCAAAATGACAGACCAAGACAAGATACTAAGATTGGCAAGAAAGAAATGTCAAATCACTAACAAAGGCTATCCCATCAGAATAATACCAGACCTCTCATCAGAAACAATGCAACAAAGAGAAGAATGCGGAAATGTATTCAAAGTGTTAAATGAAAAACAATTTCAACCAAGAATACTATGCCCAGCAAGATTATTCTTCATACGAGAAAAGAAAATAAAAATGTACTCAGATAAACAAAACCTGATAGAATGTACTCATTCCAAACAAGCTCTTCAAAAAATTCTGAAAGGAGTACTATACCAAGAAAACTAAAGAGAGGCACAGACAGCAATAACAGAAAAGAAAACAACCAGGAATATGGCCAACTTAATGGTAGGGACAAGTCTGGAAAAACCAGTAATAGCATTGAATGTCGATGGATTAAATTCTCCTATCAAGAGACACAGACTGGCTGAATGGATTAAAAATCAGAAACCCTCCATTTGCTGCCTACAAGAAACCCACCTCATTGATAAAGACATACATAGACTAAAAGTAAAGGGCTGGAAAAAGGTATTCCATGCAAATGGCAACCAAAAAAGAGCGGGAGTAGCTATACTGATTTCAGACAAAATAGTTTTTAAGACAAAAACCATAAGACAAGACAAAGAAGGACATTATATTGTAGTAAAAGGGCTAGTTCATCAAAAAGATATAACAATTATAAATATCTATGAACTGAACTCAGGAGCACCCCAATATGTAAAGGAAAGACTGCTAGATCTAAAAGAAGAAATAGACTGTAACACTATAATTTAATTGTTGGAGATCTCAACACCCCATTATCTCCTTTAGACAGGTCAAAGAGACAAGAAATAAGCAAAGAGATTCAGGACCTAAATGATACCATAAGTCAGATGGACTTGATGAATATCTATAAAACTTTTCACCCAAAAAACTCAAAATATACATTTTTCTCAGCCCTGCATGGTACTTTCTCAAAGACTGATCACATGATAGGGCACAAAACCAGCCTTTACAGATTCAAAGGCATAGAAACTAAATCCAGCATCTTCTCCGACCATGATGAAATTAAACTTGATATTAATCTCAGGAAAAGCCCTCGAAAATATACAAATACATGGAAACTAAATAACCTACTTCTGAATGACTCCATGACTACTGCAGAGATTAAGACAGAAACCAAAAGATTCATGGAAACTAATGATAATGAGTACACGAGTTTCCATAATCTCTGAGATACTGCAAAAGCAGTCAGAAGAGGGAAGTTCAGAGCAATCAGTGCACACAAGAAAAAGGTGGAAAGGTGGCAAAAGGAAAACCTAACACCATGCCTCATAGAATTGGAAAAAGGACCAAAAAAATCCAAAATATGCAGGGAGAAAAGAAATAATAAAGATTCAAGCAGAAATATATGAAATAGAAAATAAGCTAACTATATGGAAAATAAATGAAAGCAAAAGCTGGTTCTTTGAAAAGATAAACAAGATTGACACACCATTAGCCAGACTAATTAAGAAAAAAGAAAGGAACCAGATAAGTCAAATTCACAACAAATCATTACAACAAATGTAACGGAAGTACAAAACATTAGAGGATACTGTGAGTGACTCTATGCCAACAAAGAAGAAAATCTGGATGAGATGGACAAATTCCTGGACACATATAATCTACCAAGATTCACTCAATAAGACCTATAACAAGCAATGAAATTGCATCAGTAATAAATACCCTCCCAAGAAAGAAAACTCCAGGCCCCAATGGCTTCACTGTTGAATTTTACAACATTTTTAAAGAAGAGGTAACCCCCATTCTACTCACAATTTCTAGAGATCCAAAAGGAAGGAACCCTTTCAAATTAATTTTATGAAGCCTCCATTACCCTCATTCCCAAAACGAATAAGGATGTGACAAAAAAGAAAAACTACAGACCTATATCCCTGATGAATATAGATGCAAAAATTCTCAACAAGATACTTACTAACTGTATTCAACAGCATATAAAAAAGGTTATTCATCATGATCAGGTAGGCTTTATTCCAGGGATGCAAGGGCGGTTCAACAAATGCAAAACCATAAATGTAAAACACCACATTAACACAAAGAAAGGTACAAACCATACGATCACTTCAATCAATGCAGTAAAAGCATTCGACAAAATAAAACATGTCTTTTTTTTTTTTTTTTGAGAGATTTTCACTGTAGGGCGCGTGCGCTCGCCAGACAGACAGAGAGAGACATAGAGACAGAAAGCGAGAAATCACCCCCCAGGGGGGATGGTCACGCCGCAATCCCTTCTCCTCCATTCTCCTCTCGGGATCTTGGGCACGCACGCACACGCGCCCGGCGTGAGTTTTAAGCCACCGGGTCCCGGTCGACTACGTGGGAGTCCAGCGACATAGCCATTACGCTAACTGCTGGTTCCCAATAAAACATGTCTTTATGATCAAGATTCTCAGTAAAATTTGCATAGAAGGACCGTTTCTCAGCATAGTAGAAGTCATTTATGAAAAACCTACAGCTAACATTATACTGAACGGGGAAAAGTTTTTCACTAAAAATGGGTACAAAACAAGGCTGCCCACTGTCTCCGCTCCTATTCAATATACTACTGGAAGTTCTAGTCAATGTGATCAGAAAAAAGAAGGAAATAAAAGGCATCCCAATCGGGAAAGACGA